GGGGTATATGGAGGGTGTGCAGGCTTAGCCTGGGGGTATATGGAGGGTGTGCAGGCTTAGCCTGGGGGTATATGGAGGGTGTGCAGGCTTAGCCTGGGGGTATATGGAGGGTGTGCAGGCTTAATGGACCTTATGCTGCTACCTCTCGACCATCCTAGTTTCTTTTTTAGTCAATTAAGCAGAAAATTTAAACAGGAGAAATGGTTGAAAACAAAGACTTATACATATTAAACAATCAAAATGGTTTTTATTATTCATAATGGCAGGAAAATGTGCAATTTTACTGTGTTTTTGAGAGAGATACTCTTCTGCTCTAAATATTAATATGAGTGAAAGCTGGCTGCTTCAACAAATGCCTCACTTTACCTGATTTTTGATTCTGGCATTTAATTCAGCTTGCAGTCTAATCAGGGCTAATTAAGAGCGTAGAGGGAATGACAGCCAGGAGATCTTTCGTTGTGGGTGGAGCCCGTGGGGCTGTTGGAAGCCGTCTTACCCAGTGTCCTCGTCTCCTGGTAACCCCCCTCCCCCCCCCCGTCTCACCCAATCAGACGACAGCAGCGACAACATACCCATGACGCTGACAGAGCTGTCGTCCTTCGTCGAGGAGCAGCAGAGTGCCGAGCAGGAGGAGGGTGAGTGTGTGTGTGTGTGTGTGTGTGTGTGTGTGTGTGTGTGGGGATGGGGTGGGCAGGTGGGGTTGGGCTGTTCATGTTTAACATTCAGAGCAGTTGCTGCCATCCCAGCGACATCCCCCGTTATTATGAGCAGACACGGCATGAGAGCATTTGCCACACTAAAGCATTAATTATAGCATCCTGCCAGCCTCCGTTCTGCTCTTTGTGAGTAAAGGCCTCCTCCTGTTCCTGTACTCCCCTTTAAGACTGCCCCTCTGTGCTGACAGATGCCTGTTCCTGTCCTCCCCTTTAAACTGCCCCTTTGCCTTGACAGATGCCTGCTCCTGTTCCTGTCCTTCCCTTTAAGACTGCTCCCTGTGCTGACAGATGCCTGTTCCTGTCCTCCCCTTTAAACTGCCCCTCTACCTTGACAGATGCTTGTTCCTGTCCTTCCCTTTAAGACTGCCCCTCTACCTTGACAGATGCCTGTTCCTGTCCTTCCCTTTAAGACTGCCCCTCTACCTTGACAGATGCCTGTTCCAGTCCTCCCCTTTAAGACTGCCCCTCTGCCATGACAGATGCCTCCTCCTGTTCCAGGCCTTCCCTTTAAAACTGCCCCTCTGCTATGACAGCTGCCTGCTTCTGTTCCTGTCCTCCCCTTTAAGACTGCCCCTCTGCCCTGACAGATGCCTTAATGCAGGAGCTGTTGAAGATAACGGAGGACCCGCCACAGCTGCCCTCACAGTGGGGGCTGGACTCTCCTTTTTGCCACACCACCGAGACACTGACTGGCAGCCAGGCACCTGGCCCGGTTGCCCTGGGGCTGAGCCTGAGCCACGAGTGCCACGCCGAGGCTACGTCTGGCACTGACAGGCCAGAGGGGGCGCCAGACCTGTTCACCCCCATCGACTGCCCCGTGCCCAACCAGCAAAGCCCCCCAGCCCCCGAAGACGAGGCAGAGGCCCCAAATAAGGCTGTGATCTGTTTCCCCAGCCCCTGTGGGGCTGCAACCCCATCATATGAGGCCTTGTTTGACCTGGCACTGCCCAAAGCCGCTCCGCACTTTGTGAGACGAAGGACGTCAGAGGCGCTGCGCAGGGCGGGGGCAGAGGAGGGCGAGGAGGCGGGCCCAGGGCCCTCCGTTGGGCCCCCCACGCCCCCATCGCCTCTGGAGGTGCTGGATCGCCTCGTTCAGCAGGGGAAGGATGCCCACGACAAGGCGCTCAAGAGGTGAGCCGATCTCCTTCAAAGAGTGGTGGCAGGAAGGAGCGGTAATGAGGCAATCACCATAACTGAGCGCCCCCTTGTGTTTGCCGCCATGCAGGCTGCCTCTGCTGAGCAAGTCAGCCGACTGGACACACTTCGGAGGTAAGCAGTGCTACTGATGCGGGGAAAGCGGAAAACCAACCTTAACCCTCCTGTATGGTCATTCATCCCAGACACACGGCCGTGGGGAAATCTCTACTGACTGCCGTTAGCACATTCAGGACCATCGACTAGCGGCAGCCAGGCCGGGATTCACTTGATGATGCCGTCACGATTGTTTTTCAGCACTTAAATCTTGTTCCTTGCTGGTCAGTCCCGGGATAATGGCACTGCAGTCAGGCTAACTGCCCGCCTTCTGAATCCCTCATTGTTCTTCATAGAAATTCACTCGACAGTCTTGTTATGAGCAGTTTATTAATTAACGCTAATAATTGCTTCAAAGAGGTGGGCACCATCTGCCAGACATACCAAGAGAAACCTTGTTTATATATATTTAATCGTGGTATGGGGGGCTCCTCTAATAAGGTAGACATGTTTGCTCTGATTATGGGATAGCTTGGTGATTAATTGCTTCTGTACACTAATATAGTCAGGCTTGCAGTAGAGGAATACTGTATCCGGTCCTCTCGTTTTCTAAAGGCTGTGTTAATTGATTGTCCTGGTACCACTCTCTGCCACCAGCAGGATCCGCCCCCCTGGACGAGCTGCACACGCTGCGCAGCCAGCTGCTGCTGCTGCACAACCAGCTGCTGTACGAGCGCTACAAGCGGGAACAGCACGCCGTCCGCAACCGCCGTCTGCTGCGGCGGATCATCAAGGCCACGGCGCTCGAGGAACAGAACAGTGCCATGGTACTGACCGTAGTGTGGGGGCCCTGAGCTTAAACCACCTGCCCCTCTCTGGGCGTCCCAGCTGTGTCTGGTCGGCACTAACCGGCCCTGGCCGCCGGCCGCCACTCGCCTTGACCTGCTTATGCGTCTCTCTGGCAGAAGGACCAGCTGAACTTGCAGAACATGGACATCCTGTCTCTGAAGGAGAGCCTGCAGGTGGAGCAGCAGCGCTACCATCAGCTATGGGAGGACCGCGAGGCCGTGGTGACGCGGCTGCACAGCCAGATCCGGCAGCTGCAGCAGGGTCGCGACGAGTACTACACCAAGAACCAGGAGCTGCAGGTACATGTCTGGGGAACAACACACGCACACATAAACACACACACACACACACACAGCAGAAACATGTCTGGGGAACTACACGCACACACACAGCAGGAACATGTCTGGGGAACAACACATGCACACACACAGCAGGAACATGTCTGGGGAACTACACACACACACACACACACACAGCAGGAACATGTCTGGGGAACTACACACACACACACAGCAGGAACATGTCTGGGGAACTACACACACACACACACACACACAGCAGGAACATGTCTGGGGCACTACACACACACACACACAGCAGGAACATGTCTGGGGAAATACACACACACACACAC